CGTCTCAGCTGCTGTCATACATTCCCTAACACTTCTACACTATGTATTCTCATTTCTTCCGCCATCTGAACAACCCTGCCATCCTCAAACATGGTGTGAGCATTCCGTTTCCCTATGCCTACTTTTGCTTTCACTGAGTGTAGCGAACGGATTCTTAAGACGGCTAACTGACACAAACGGAGAGTGTCGTGGCTGCTTGTGAATGAAGATCCCGACCGAACCACTGCACTAACCACATTGAACCTACTGACCAGAGTAGACTAGTGAAATATAGTAAACAACTGATTATTCATAAAAATATACCCAAAGAAGTGTAAGAATATTAGAAAGGATGGCTTTCCCTAAAATGTTGCGAGAATAACTCTCAGTTTCTAACCAGAGTGTCGGTATTCATCCAAGTGACTATATTTCATGGTGAGGAGCTCAGATTAGCCTTAGGCTCCAGATAGATTTTCGTTAGCCTTAATATTAGATTAGGGTTAGGGTGGATTACAATTGACTAGAAGTTGGTCTTAGGAATGACTACATAGGATTTGGTTTAAGACACTTTACAGAAGTGATCTTTTCGCTAAATCCTGAACAGCATTCACTAGTAATACTTCATTTAGTGTCTTCTCTCACCCAAATGCAAATCTTATATTGAGTATACGAAATTTCGCCGTTGCAACGCGATCGGTCAATTTAAGGCTATTAATACGCTCGTTCGTTTGGGATCTTACAGTTTAACCTTTCCCGATTACTTAACTATGATGAAACTAACAATAAATGTTTACACTGCAATGAGTAAATACCTGACTGTGATATGATTAGCCTACTTATAGAAAGCAAACATTGCGCAGACAGTATGACTGACGGCACTGAAACTGAACACTTCCTCTTGAAAACATCGTCTGCCTTCCCATAGGATAAGTCTCCTTGCCCAGCTTCTTTAATATCTTAGGAGTCTGAATGATGACGATAACAAAAGGGATTCTCGCGAATATTATTCTGGATCAGCCAATCTATCAATGCATTTAAAATCCTGAATTATTGGTAGCTTTTGCAAGTGCGAAATCAAGGTTGGAACGATTATCAAGCATTCTGTTGAATAAATCTTCCACATCCGTACAAGGTAGCCAAGAAATTTCACCAATCGGTTCTGACAACCTGAAGCAATGCATCTAAAGCTACAGTTCGCCTACCTGAAGAAGTAAACGAATCGTCTAATTAATTCATATTTCTCTACATAATTGAAAGGAAATCCAAATGAAGGCTCCACTCTCTACATGTGGATGTAGCAACACCACTTGTGTAATTAATCTGTTAACTGGCGAAGAAACCTCTTCTAAACAACACCCAGATTATTTAACTGATACTCTGATAACCCTTTACAAAACACTGATGATATGTCACAACTTCTCTTACATATACCATATTTCCAAGGAGTTATGATTTGAAAATGTTAAGGAGTGAGGTGTATGTCCACTGAATTTCTTAACATGCCAATGTAGCTGCATCACTGTCAAAGTAGACTTTTATCTCAAATATTGCAGTCACTTATCAGCAGCTTTCGGTGGCTTTTGCAGTTTCAATAGCAACGTCAGAAGTAAGCACAAGGACATGGAATGTCTGCACCATATTTGAGGCTGGCGAGGCAAGGCAGACAAAGAGAAGAAGGAGGAATTCCAAACACAAGTGAAAGCAGTCATGGCTTGTTTATCTTCAAACTAGAATGCTCCAGGTGAAGTCTTCCGTACAGGGAATCTTTTGGTTTCTCAGAGATGACATGGCTTAATACTTTACTTCGGATGGACAGGAGTATGATTCCTCACCAGTTCTTGCATAGGCTTAAGTCGCCCTCTTTGGCAGGTCGGTAGTCTTGTCATTCTTCCAATCGGCAGGCACCTTTCCTTCCTTCCATATCTTCTGCAGCAGTGGTGTGAGTGTGTCATCTGAGGTCTATAGGTTCGCTTCCAGTGCTTCTGGTCTCCAAGACTTCTACTGTTGTCGGTGGGTGGGTATTACTGGTGGTTCTGTACCAGTTGTAGGTGGTGGTCGATTTCAGAGTCCTTTGAATCGATCAGCTAAGCACTTTCTCTGCTCCAACTTCTTGATAGTTCGCTTACCTTTACTATCTTTCACTGGCTTCATATGCGTAGACCTCTTCCCGCATAGCGGCCTGGCTATTTCATATGGTGTTGTGACGTCTCTCTTACCTGAAACCTCTTCTGATTCAGTTGCTAGTGTGTCGCCAAAGCCTTCTTCATACCACTCTACTTCACTCATTTGTACAGTAATCTGTAGACTATGCTCAGCTTCTTCTTTCGTTGTCCACCTCTCTAATAGTTCATCCTCTGATTCACCACCCTTCTCTCCTCTATCAACTTCCTGGTCTCCATAGTCAAACCCTCCTTTTCTTGCTTATTCTTAGCGCCTAAAATCTCTATACAGGTTTCCTGCCACATTGTCTTCAGTGAGTCCGAGTGTTCCTATCACTCAGGTTTCCTCGGTGATATTGCTCAATGTCTCCGACGATCTCCTGATGACTAGTGTGAATGTGTCCTTTGTAGTTTCGTCCTCCAGTTTCTCAGTGTTGGAAATGAATTTTAATTGTCATCTATCTCCAGCTTGTTTGGAAACTTCCAACTCGATCTTGAAGGTTCCTTGTACTAGACAGTCTCTCTGTCTGTTTTCGACATAGAACTTTGCACAAATGTGTACTAGAGAGTAGTGATCTGGACCTACATCTGCTCCTCTTCTCGATCCTTTTATGCCCAACAGACCACATCTCCACTCTCTTCAGATTCGGATGAAGTCTATCTGACTTCTGGTGCGCTCATCTAGTGAAACTCACATCGCCTGCCGCCTCGTGGATACCACCAATCACCAAATCATTAAAAGCGCAGAAGTCTGCCAACAGTTCTCCGTTCTCATTCATTTCGCCGAGCGAGCGCCTCTCACTCCATAGTGAATTCTCTTCCTGTGTTGTCTGCTCCCAGTTTGGCTGGAATTCATATCACTCCTTATGAGTTTGACATCTCCATCCAAGATATTGTCACTACTGCTTGCAGTTATTGTATTTGTAAACGTCTTCCTTCTACTCCTGGTCTCAGTTGTTTACAGGTGCGCAGCAATGTGTAATTGGAAATCTCCTTCCTTTTGAGACAGCTGAACCTTGCTGTCATCATCTTGGAGGAGAATGGTTCCCATTACGTGAGAGTTGAAACTTCACTCTTTTGATGACACCATGATGGCCACACCCTCGGTGTGCTCGTGGTTGTCGTCTGGTTGACCGGAGTAGATTATCGACTCTCCAGTTAGCAATTTGGAGAGTCCACATCCGTCTCAGCTGCTGTCATACATTCCCTAACACTTCTACACTATGTATTCTCATTTCTTCCGCCATCTGAACAACCCTGCCATCCTCAAACATGGTGTGAGCATTCCGTTTCCCTATGCCTACTTTTGCTTTCACTGAGTGTAGCGAACGGATTCTTAAGACGGCTAACTGACACAAACGGAGAGTGTCGTGGCTGCTTGTGAATGAAGATCCCGACCGAACCACTGCACTAACCACATTGAACCTACTGACCAGAGTAGACTAGTGAAATATAGTAAACAACTGATTATTCATAAAAATATACCCAAAGAAGTGTAAGAATATTAGAAAGGATGGCTTTCCCTAAAATGTTGCGAGAATAACTCTCAGTTTCTAACCAGAGTGTCGGTATTCATCCAAGTGACTATATTTCATGGTGAGGAGCTCAGATTAGCCTTAGGCTCCAGATAGATTTTCGTTAGCCTTAATATTAGATTAGGGTTAGGGTGGATTACAATTGACTAGAAGTTGGTCTTAGGAATGACTACATAGGATTTGGTTTAAGACACTTTACAGAAGTGATCTTTTCGCTAAATCCTGAACAGCATTCACTAGTAATACTTCATTTAGTGTCTTCTCTCACCCAAATGCAAATCTTATATTGAGTATACGAAATTTCGCCGTTGCAACGCGATCGGTCAATTTAAGGCTATTAATACGCTCGTTCGTTTGGGATCTTACAGTTTAACCTTTCCCGATTACTTAACTATGATGAAACTAACAATAAATGTTTACACTGCAATGAGTAAATACCTGACTGTGATATGATTAGCCTACTTATAGAAAGCAAACATTGCGCAGACAGTATGACTGACGGCACTGAAACTGAACACTTCCTCTTGAAAACATCGTCTGCCTTCCCATAGGATAAGTCTCCTTGCCCAGCTTCTTTAATATCTTAGGAGTCTGAATGATGACGATAACAAAAGGGATTCTCGCGAATATTATTCTGGATCAGCCAATCTATCAATGCATTTAAAATCCTGAATTATTGGTAGCTTTTGCAAGTGCGAAATCAAGGTTGGAACGATTATCAAGCATTCTGTTGAATAAATCTTCCACATCCGTACAAGGTAGCCAAGAAATTTCACCAATCGGTTCTGACAACCTGAAGCAATGCATCTAAAGCTACAGTTCGCCTACCTGAAGAAGTAAACGAATCGTCTAATTAATTCATATTTCTCTACATAATTGAAAGGAAATCCAAATGAAGGCTCCACTCTCTACATGTGGATGTAGCAACACCACTTGTGTAATTAATCTGTTAACTGGCGAAGAAACCTCTTCTAAACAACACCCAGATTATTTAACTGATACTCTGATAACCCTTTACAAAACACTGATGATATGTCACAACTTCTCTTACATATACCATATTTCCAAGGAGTTATGATTTGAAAATGTTAAGGAGTGAGGTGTATGTCCACTGAATTTCTTAACATGCCAATGTAGCTGCATCACTGTCAAAGTAGACTTTTATCTCAAATATTGCAGTCACTTATCAGCAGCTTTCGGTGGCTTTTGCAGTTTCAATAGCAACGTCAGAAGTAAGCACAAGGACATGGAATGTCTGCACCATATTTGAGGCTGGCGAGGCAAGGCAGACAAAGAGAAGAAGGAGGAATTCCAAACACAAGTGAAAGCAGTCATGGCTTGTTTATCTTCAAACTAGAATGCTCCAGGTGAAGTCTTCCGTACAGGGAATCTTTTGGTTTCTCAGAGATGACATGGCTTAATACTTTACTTCGGATGGACAGGAGTATGATTCTTCACCAGTTCTTGTATAGGCTTACGTCGGCCTCTTCCGCAGTTTTTATGATTGGTTCTATTGGGCAGTGGTTGTTGCGGCTCGAGGTTTTACTCATATGGAGGATTTGTTATGGTATGGAGTCGGGAAGAAAAACGTAACTTAGTTTTTGATAACGAAACGTGTGTGGTTAGGAGCACTGTACAATTTCTTATGATGAAAAAATGCACAGTTCTTGAAAACTGGCAAAATATAAATCTCAACGAGTAATAATAACAATAACGGTATAAATAGTAATGACAATAACAGTAGTAATAATTACGGTAAAATGAATAATGTACAAATGGATTATAGGAATCTGAATGAACATGTTTGTGAGTATGATACTGAAACTCAAACACGGGACGTCATGATCGTGTACAGATGAAGATCGCCGTATGTATATTGAAAGTGTATAAATATGTTTTTTTATAAAGCTGAACAAAATTACTTGAAACTGATAAGCAGAAAATTTCAAAATGAAAAATGTTAACGAAAAAATCGACAAAAAAACTATCTAATGAAGCATTTCACATTAGTCTGATCAGTTTTTATAAAAGGCAATTTTACATGATATTAATATTTGTGTGTAAAAATAGTTCAACTCTGCATGATTTGAACAGCTTCTTTCAACGAGCTGTAGCATCCCTTAGTTAACGGACTAAAAAGGTAATACAAATTTTATTTAAAAATAGAGCAATTACAAACAGGAACATATTTAAGTATAAACGAAGGCTTTTAAATTTTATTGTACAAAACAGCCCGTTTAAATTGAGGAGAAAGAAAACTTCACTATTCAACAATGGAGATATTCAAAGTCGTTGCCACATTTAACCTAAAAATGTACATGTCCTGGAAGAATTTATGGCAATACAACCAAATAAGATAATAAATCTGTGTGAAAACAACTAACAATGTGACCCATCAGTTGTCTATATATATATACATATAAACTTCTGAAAATATGATGAACGGAAAAAACGTTTGAATAATTGTATAAATATAAATACGTAGGGGCAAGTTCCAAATCTTTTGAACAAACTTTTTACAAACCATTTCTAATCGATAAAACTTAATTTTGGATGGATACAGGACGCATCACTGATTGGACGAATGAACAGGTGTACTCAATGGCTCCATCGAAGGTTTGTGGCTAAAATAAAATCAGATGACAGGAGTTGTATAATACAGTCAAACAAATTTTAATGTATTTGCATACAATATTTTTACACATTAATGAATTATGCCGGGTCTTAGTAAAAAGAGATACTTATTAACTTACTGAGATGCACAGTCTAAATTATTGGGGGGTATTTCCACAGGTGATGTAGATCGGGAAGGATTAGCTTCAGCAGTCGTTACGTGAGAAACATTCCCAGAGAGATTCTTGGAAGCGTTCGGAAGATTAACGCGTCTTTTTTTGACGGCTATACTAGTAGACTGTGGGTTAACACTTATATCAGAGGCAGCTAGGATGTAAAAGAAACAGAAAACCATGTATTTAGCTTACTATAAAAACGTAAACCAAAATTATCATGCGATGTAAACGATAGAACGGCAAATAAGATAGCGGAAACCACTATTGGTGATTACTGTTTCAACATCCGAACATGACAGTGCAATCAACATTTATTGGATAATGGACTTAGGAACTGACATAATTAGACAAGCATTCATAAGCAACGACTGTAAGATCGATCTAGTGGCCACCACTCATTGAAAGCAGTCTTCGATTGCGTGATCAGTGGAAAAAGAAGCCCATCTTCATTCATGTAGATTCTCAAAGTGGTAATACCGCAGCAATAGTCAACAAAAGATCGAATATCTCATCGGTAAGAAGCAATCTTGCACTAAGGTGGTTCCCGTGTATGAAATCTGGCCTGTCTGTGTATGCAAATCTATATCATTCTGCGGTAGCAGTTACATTTGGAGAACAGAAAGAACACCTGTTCAATTTTTTGAAGATATAACAAAACAGACACCTTTTCGATACGGGGGTCATGAGACGATGACTATGGAATCCTTTAAAGATTATCAATAGACAAAAAATTCCTCTTCAAGTTTCCAGAAGCAGTTGTTTACAAACACCTGAATCCCAATTTGTGTGTTCGGAAAGAAACAGTCATCAACACTTTCGTGCCCTGGTAACTGAATGTTTTTACTCTCCCTTAGTTGACCACATAATCTTTGCATTTATCCTTCCTCCCTTCGCGTAATTATGTAATTTTGCCTGTCCTTAATTTATACGATTTCTGCTGAACTCACTACTTTGATACTAAGCTTATTAGTTCATCATCCTATTTAGCCCTTGTCCCTACTATATGAGCCCTTTGTCATCAATCAAAGCATTTTTTGTTTAAATTTCGACTTTCAATGTTTAAGATGTATTAACGTGATTGCCTGAGAACTGTTTGTCAGGTTGGCAGTTTCCTGTCGACTGAAATCAGGTAACACTTACATGTTAAAATTATTCTGTACATAGACTCAGTAGTTTTTTAGCATGTAGGCACCTGATGCAACAAGCGATGGGACCAGCTGATTCAATACAACGCTTTAAGATGCGACAAACAGAAACAGTAATATTTTTTCCAATCGAGGACTGGAATGCGACGAGATAAAAACAACACACATACACACACCATAACAGGATCTCAATGTAGACTTCATCAAGTAAAAGAATAGTTACCGTCATCCATGCACTTATCACAAACCATTCCAATTCAGCAAACAATATCAGACATAAATTGTTTCGGGCACTAGCCTTTTCACCACTGAGTCACCCTTCTAAAACCTACCCGACATTCTAAAAAATTTCACTAAATTAGGTCTTGTGATACAATGTCGAGAAAATTCTTCATGAAAATGGCTGTAAGGGAACATCCTATTTTGACAATCAGAAAAACAGATGCATGTACATTCGAAAATAGACATGATATGAATCATGACTGATATTTCGGTTTGCTTCATATAGATGGATATCAATTTGTAACTTACGAAGAGAGGAATCAGAATCTCGAAGCCTTTTCCCCCGTCCTCTGCTTCCGTAACCTATACGCGCACTTGTTGGTACCAATGCATTGCTTTGTGCAGAAAGGGAATTAGAATTGCTGGGTAAAGTAATATTTGTGGTGTGATTGGGTCCATCAATCCCTGAAGTATTATCCGCAGCATCTGGATCTAGACTGGAACAATAGGCATGTAGACTGGACCATTCAGCACCAACAGGATTAGGGAATAACTTAGAAAAGAAAGCACGAATAATGGAGAAATGTCAGTTCTGTTAATCAAATGTAAAAGTGAAATGAAAGACAGAGTGAAAAATATTTAAGTAAATATTTAATATTCAAATATTTAAAAGCATAGCTGACAACTAAGCAAAAGTTCATTTGGAATCAATCGCAAATGTAGTCTAGAATAAGTAAATAAAAGGACGTTAAAATGCAGTATTCAATGAAATCTCTTTTATTGCATGACTAAACCTATAGTCTTTCCGATGACGTTTGACCCAGTCTTAGCACACAACTCCCAGTGTTTACAAATAATTGTCTACATCACTAATATTATTATAGTTCAAAAAATACGTTCAAATGAAAGACCAAATTGGGACGTCACAAAGAAATGCAGTATTTTAATGTGTCGAAATCCAAAATAGTACTCGGGAACAAGAAAAACAAGACATCATCGGTCTAGTACTCAGAAATTTATTAGGAAGAAAAACTAGTTCAAACACGAGGAGAATGAACGCCAAATTGAGTAGTGAAATCCATTGTCCTACTGCCGAAAACACTGTAAAATGACGTTCATTTAACTGATTTACATTCCTTAAAAATTCAAGAGTCACAAATTAGCAGGAATTTTCATCTGTCCGATTCAAATACATGAGTTTAATCAAGTGCATCTATCTGAAAGTCAAAGAGGAACCAAATTAAGACGACAGAATATCTCATCAATATACACTAATCACAATCTTTAACTATTTGGACTATATGATTTTCATCTAAGAAAACGATAAGAATAATTTAGCTTCTAACTACGAGCTTCAGTAGAAGTAATCAGCGCCACACACCGTTTTGTTTTATTTTTTTCATGAGATATATCCAAGCATATGAGACCAAAAAAGTGTAAGATATATATCGGCATTGAAAACAATGATTTAAACAAATGATCACGTTACTAAAAGCTTACTCGACGGATGTGTTCTGATATGTTCTTTTTGTCTGGCCTAAGAAGCTTATTCGAAAACTCAGAGACAACCTCAAGAAATAATAAGTTGCTTGGAACTCCAGGCGGGTGGCCACTCGCAGCTGTGGACGCTGCACGAGATACACAAAATTGAATGCCTTCCAAATGAAGAGCGACCATAGATTCTCGTATTTTTATCAGATCGAGACCGAAGCTGAGATTCAAACGCCTAGCGAGTTCTTTTACAGCTTGAATGCCTTCGGAACCACGTTCTACATGATTCTACAAAAAAATTGGAAGCATGCATGAAATTACGAAAACAAAACCTTTAAAAATAAAACGAAAACCAGGAACTTTGTTTAGGGCTAATTGTTTTGTTACCAAAAGAAAACAGATTCGGTCATTCTATGAACTCACACGATATCCGAAAGAAAACTATAAATATCTATACTACGTGTGTAGTAAACAACTGTTTGAAAAATCGTCTAGCAAAACTCGTCAGGTTCAAGAGGAACAATTAATAACAACGTGCAATATTTCAGAATGCCACACAGTGATAACACTGATTTAGAAAACGACTAAGCTGCAGTTCTTCGTAATACATCAAATGATACTAGTTATTTTACATGAATATAAGCAACGCAATTCAGTGCCAATACATCAGTAAATGTTGAAAGTCGAATTATATGATTTACCGACAGCTGGTGTTTATCGAATATTTCTGCCTTTGAAAGAGAAATTAAATTCTACATCTCCACTTCAATAAACAGATGACGCATCAAAATTACTAGATTGTGCTTTTTTCAGCTCGGAAAAACATATGACAAACTGCGACGTAACGAACAACCATACTGAACTACTGTAGTGAAACTCCACTCATCGAGAAGACAAATCCACGTCCGCCTGAGGAGGGGATTGATACATAAACTAGTGGATTACGTATGAGCGAGTATATTATAATCAAGAAAACTAGAACATTGCAAGTACCTTCAACTGATGAAATAAAAACTTTCGCTTACATTAGAAGCTGCTTCAACTTGCAGGTAGCATAATTCTAAACAATGAGCTATCATGCGTGCAGTATTTACACGATGGTGTTCACGAGCTTTGGCTAGCGTCGATTTCATTATATCTCCGAAATCGTTGAAAGACCGAATGTAATACTTATATAATGGAGCAGCCGCACGTACTGGAATCATGTTAAAAACCACCAATTTAAAAAATGATGATAACTGCTTGCGTCTTTCGTGAAGAGATTCAAACTTTGCGCTTTCGTCTTCTTCTTCCTGCAATGTATAAAAGAGTATACGTATAGGTACGTTGAATGGAAATGAGCTAATAAAACTATCTGCTCAACGATGATTACTACCAAGCTACGTGGACACATGAACGAAATACTCCCCTCATATTCATTTCTTCGACTGTTAATTCACGAAACGAATAAATATCACATGTACGAAAGGTAAGGGCACTTTTCACACCACATACCACTGACGTGTAAGCTTTCTAGGGCTTGTTAAGACAAGGACTGTGTCACAGTTGCGGTTCCGAAGACAGTGGATTCACCCGACAACAATAAGTGAATGAATTTCGTGTTTTGCAGTAAGTTCGAGCCACAACAAAACTGAGGAAAAAGTTACTCATGATAACGTCAGCTATACAGTGTTTACCTAATATATATATATATATATATATATATATAAGCATAAACTCAAAATAGCCAATTCGGTGGGGAATTGTAGGTGTGTAATACAGACGGTGGTGTAAAAATATACCGCTACCAGTGAAGAAATAATGCACATTAGTGACAATGAATCGGCAAAAATATCACTAATATCCGCAATAGTAGCAGATGTATGTATGGATAGTTAGGAACGGTCAACTTTTAGAACGTATAATCCTGCTTTGGGTTACACTGAACGTATAAGGGAAGCACATTCACTAGGCTGAAATTTAAAAAATCCAAGTGTTCAACATAAATATAATCTCCGTGACAGAAGGAATCCATTCACTTTCGAGTTAGAAAATGGACAGGGTGAGTTGACAATGCTAAATTGCATAGTGAAACGAAGACAGGATGGTGAATTAAATGCTAGGGTCTATAGGAAACTGACAAATCCTAACAAATACTCAGACTGATTCATTTCACCAAAATTCGGTAGGAATGGGTATATAAACAAGTCAGGAATGTAACTAATGAGTTAGGTTTAAATAATGAACTCAAATAAATGGTAATTACCCCAGATTTTACTCAAAAGTGGTATGAATATCCATAGGCAAAATAAGAATGGTAATGCAAATAGTGTATATACTATAAATAATGAGGCGTTTCAGATGCCGTACGTAGAATTACTAATATGACTGGAAATAGGGTGACATTTCAACCCACCAGTGGTGAAATGAGGCGTATTGGTCTAGATGTTCGACTCCTAACCAGGTGGGTCACAGGTTTGAAACTCGCTCATTTACAGCCAAATAACTAGTCCCTAAACAATGGATGTGGCAACCGACCCAGACGATTAACCCCCGGCCCTTTTTAAAGATGGTGGCGAGACTCTCACAATGGCTGTAACTGGGTCGTTCAGGAAGGTATGGGAGACAGAGGGCGTACCATCAATGTGAGACGAAGCCATTATCGTCCCCATCTTTAAAAAGGATCGACGTAATTCGTGTGACAATCATAGGGGTATCAGTCTGCTACCAGTCGCGTCTAAAATATTGGCTGCTGTCTTGCTTCGCAGACTGTGCAAAATACGTGAGGGATTGATTCGTGAAGAGCAGGCTGGGTTTCGTTCAGGTCGTGGATGCACTGATCATGTGTTCACCCTTCGTCAGTTGTTGGAACACCGCCACACGTATTGCAGGCCAACGATCGTTGTGTTTCTTGATATTAGGGTTGCCTTTGATTCGTTGAACAGAACTGTGCTCTGGAACTGTGTGTTAGAGAGAGGTGTATCTGAGAAATTTGTTAACATCTTGAAATCCTTATACAGAAACACCTCAGGTAGAGTGAGGGCATACAACCAACTATCATCATTGTTAGCGACCAACAGTGGGGTTAGACAGGGTTGCCCAATCTCTCCATTTCTCTTTAACTTGGCCATCGATGATATTCTGGAGTCAGCTCTGAAGGATGTGCGTGAAGGTGGTGTAGATCTGCTACCTGGAGATAGACTTTTCGACCTCGAGTATGCAGTCGATATCGTCTTACTGTGCGACAGGATGCAGGCTGCCCAAATCGCACTTAATCAGTTGGCGATCAGTGTCTGTAAGTATGGTATGTGCTTTGCGCCGTCTAAGTGCAAAGTACTGTTACAAGATTGGCAGGAGCCTGTATCTGCAGTCACTCTTGCGCGTAAACCGCTTGAAGTAGCTTTCAAGTTTTTGTATCTTGATAGTTGTGTGAGTGCTGTCGGATGAGATTTCAAACCGTATAATGAAGGCTAGGGTGGCATTCATCAACTTGTGCCACATATGGCACCATCGCGACGATAGCCTGGCCGTCAAAGGTCAAGTATACAATGCTTCGGTGAGGGCTATCTTGCTCTACGCCTGTGAAACCTGGCCTTTCCGAGTAAGCTGAGGATGTTCGGCGACTCTACGTGTTCGATCATCGCTGTCTCCACAGTGAATGTCATCATCTGGAAACACCAGCTCCGGTGGCTTGGACGTGTGCTGCGAATGTCATCCCAGAGGCTTCCGTACAGGTTTCTGTTCGCTAGCCCTGAGACGGGATGGAAAAGCCGGAGAGGTGGTCAGTTCATTACGTGAGGTTGTGGGATGAAGGATGTTTGTGCTAGATTAGCATCGGTTGGTGCGTCACGACTCCCTGGTTAGGGTCCGCGAGATAGCTCGAAACGTTATCGGATATGGCCGAGAATCGTAATCAATGGCGGACGCGTTGCAATTTCCTTCTTTCTGCCCTTCCCGATGATAGTTGGCGAGTACTGTTTGAACTTCTTAAGTACGACTGTTTTCCTTCCAGATGATGTTCTTTATCCGTTCTCTACTTATATTTTTACTTTTAATCTATGTTGTTTTATTATTATTGTGTGGCGCATCCTTCTTGGTGCCATATTGTACCAAGTTTTCTCTGCGTTTAAATAAATAAATGAATAGTGTGGTATAAAAGAGGACCATTGAAATTCAAAGATGAAGTATATCGAAATGTTGGCACTCAGACGTAGAACCGGTATCTTGTGAAATAATCTCCCTTTTCAGATTATAAGTTTGTCGACAATTAAACTGGGAAACGAATGAATACTTCATCCACCCTAGTGGATGATTGTTTAAGAATTATATGTGGTCCATTTTCAAATTTTTTGTAAATCTGAAATACAGACATAATAATAAGTCACGTGCGATAATCCAAAAGAAAAGCTGCTTCTGAAAGTATCGCAACATATTATTGTCAGCTTTAACAACAAAGTCAAGATAAAAAGATGCAACGCATAAGTTTTAAGGCAGATAAATGAAGACTTACATCATCATCATCGATAAAAACCCGCTGCTCCAAATAGTTGGTCAACTTGAGTTCGAGATCTCTATCTGCTACGTAGATAGGGGGATGTAGGTTCGGCATATGATCACAAAGGTTACGAGAAAAAACAACTAGCAAATCACAGATTGAGAAGAAAGATTCTGATGCAAGGCGTTTGTGTGAGTGGTCCAAGTAACCGATGCATATGTCCATATATAAATTTAGCTGTCTGCGTAGTTTATTTGACTCCGTCTGTAAACAATAATAAAAACACGATTGTAAACACATTGGATTGTAATGAACTAGGTAAATGTATTACAGTACGACAATGAGCCATTCTGACTATCATAATGTAGTGAGATTTAATCACAATGTCAGATTAACAGCCTAAGATCTCATCGTCCACTAAAACTATTGCTTCCTTATGATATCATAAGAAATGTATTCAAAACATCAAAACATCTAACTTAGATAACTCATTCAGATGATCAATACATTAACTGTTAATGCGTACTAAACACATCCGTTAAACTTTGAAGACTATCTATCAAATGTAGTCTCGAAATATTGATGTTTTTTCAAAACGTCTCAAGTACAATCTACACGCGACTTTCGGAATTTCCAACAATCCAGTGGAAATGTGAGTAGTAGTTAATCTGAAGGCAACTGGCGATAGAATATTCATTTTTTCACTTCGCCTTCCGAACGCGAAATATATGAGAAGTTTGTGATCGATTAACTGATATCACTACTTTGTTATTAAGACAGCAGGAACAGAATAAGCCAAACCTACCTTGTCCATTTCGCTCTCCTGTAATCTCTTCAAATTCCATAGTAAGGCATGATAACAACAACAAATAGCTTGAGCCACTACATCACCACTGGCATCATTTCCTGATTGTGCTATTCGGATAAGACTGTCCCACAAATCCAGCCCTGAGAGGTCGTGACAACTAAAAGCAAAGGGGAAATGTTGCAACAGAAATTTGTTTTTTCATGTGAATGACAATTGAAAAATAGGTGACATAACGCAGAAGACTTATCCTAAAGAGTTAACACGTGCGCTTATATCAGAAAAATGTAACCACGAGTATATCCCGTAATAAAACTTGTCGGCAAACTACAGTTTCAAAAAACAGTGGAATAAGGGGGAGGAAACTTGACACTAACATATAACAATAAAATTACATGTGATAATTTGGAAAAACAAAGTTCACAGTACTGTAAATACTCACAACCCAACTGTTTGAACTCAGTTACACGGAACAGATTGTTAATGTACCAAGCTGAGTCACAGAGTCATTATATTACCACAAGAATGACAGTATTTCCGTTGATATTGTGCGAGTTCATTAGAGCTTATAAAAATAATGACTGTTGAACATAAACCGTTACAAAGAAACATACAAAAATATTCAAAGCACTTACAAGCACAACATTTAATGACCACTTTAAATAAAAGTCGATGTTGGCCATTTTGCACAGGTTTGTAAATCCTACATGGAAATCGACTCAATAACAAATAGTTCCAATAGATGCTTTGTTTCTAACCTTTTATCCTACGGAAGTCATGATTCCATCAAGCGATTGTACAGCAAGATTTTAATGTGGAATATCTGCGTGCAAAACATATAACATGTGAATTGTGTCAAACTTAATTACTACTTTTGATCCAGCATTATTACTAAACTACGCTAATGAATTAAGTTGCACGAGATCTAAAATACACCTTGTAAATGAATGTGACAATTTATCTGGCTAGTTTGCATCATGAAATCATATTGCTGAGATGATCGAGTTGATAAAGCTTAATGCGCATTAGCCATCCTACGTAGATGGGTAACTATTTCAAATAAATTATTATTCGAAAATATCAGAAATTAATATCAAAGACAATAAATTCTAACCGTGTGCAAAAACTCACCTATAAAACGCATTAATGCGTTTCAGTGCAGCTACAATGTGAAATTCATCATCTTGATCGGGCTCTTCACCCTAAACAACATCACAAACAAAGAATGATAAATATTGAATAGTAACAGTCCACAAAAACACAAGGCAAAGTATTAAGAATTGGCAGAAGGCAGAGTGAAAGTGCTTTTTTGAAAACAAAAGTTTTAAAAGAAATTGGTTTCAAGAAAAGCTAACGCTTATAGCCATCATCTATCAGTGTTTCCCCCAATGGCTTATATGCACTCATAAAGGTTCATATGCCTTCACTCATCAATCCCGATAATATTCATTTTAGATCACCGGACTTTTCTTTTACCCGTACAAATGAAGAGAGTATTAATATTACATTCCTTTATGTGAACTTATACGACCAATGTTAAGTTTCACGGTAATACGTCAGTTAGTTACACATAGTTATTGCATTAATACCACTGTTACTGAAAGCATGTTCCATAAAATAATGTCTTCGCATGCGTAACATACATGTAGTCACCTCAGATTCGTTGCGGCTTTGAAACCTTACCTCAATTGACTTGCTATTCTTGTCTAATATTCTGTGTCTGACTCCATTATTATTCTACTAAGCAGAGGATATCTAGGAGGCAACTATAGTCAGGAAATGCTAATATTGCCGTATTTTCAATAGCTCACAACATAACTCTACCTCATTCTGCTGCTGTCTATCGGAAAATAATACATCTAGACTTTCATAGCTCTTAATTATCATAGAAGTTTTTACATTTCCCAATGAATGAAAAAAACGATACTGTTTTGATTGATACTTTGCTATCAATGTATTATTAGTTGCTCTGATGCAAATGTTTGCATGTCATATTTAAACACAGAAAAAGTGTACTTAAAATTCTGAGTTTTCGGAATGAACATATAAGATTTATTTAAGTTTATTGTGGTGAATCGAAAATGGAGCACTTATATTATTTAGTCTTCGGATATTTGGGTTGGTTCTTGTTTTTGAATGAAGCTGCAGTAATTCAGGACTTCATTTGATAACAGTCATCTATACAATATCCGACTGGAGAAGCTCAAACAAATGATATGCGGCAGTCTTCCTAACTTTTGAGTTGACCTATACGCTGCTTATAGTTCTTCAATAAAGGACGTTTAAAGTGCGCTGAAGTCTATCGTTAGAAAACTAAGAGTCATGAAAGTGAAAAGAGATAGCATAACACACCTCGAAATGATAGTGAATTGCCGATTCCGTACCTCCTATTTTCTGAACATGAACCAAAAAGGATTCAACAGTGATATTGCTAGGCATTTCATTGACAAAAGTCATGAGGTAGACGTCGCATGATTGTTCTAAATTATCAACAGACAAGAGTTCGACTCCCCTTGAGTTTGCCGAAGCATACTCCATCAAACACCTGAAACCCAGTTTGTCTTCAGGAAGAAGTGGATATCAGTCTTCCCGTGCCCTGCTAACTGAATGTCTTTACTTCCTTTTTCATTTGATTATGTTACGCCAAAAATTTCACTGTGTATGATTGTTATTGTTTGTCATAAAGTGATTATTATTACCATTGTATGCACATATTGATTTTTAGTTTGAAGATGAACCCTGTGTATGTTAAAATTGTTTCCGTAGATAAACTTAAAAATGCCTTTGGGCTTTGAGCAGCTGATGAGAAGCCAACGAAATAAATGATGGTACCATTTTATTCTGCACAAACTGTTGTTCTTGCTCTATTCAGATCCCAGGATAATTAACAAAACTAAAAGACCTCAGACAACTTCAAATTTGGAACTTTTAAATCACTATCTCAGTTTGAAATCTTCATATCTAATCGAAGCTTATTCCAAAGAAACAATAAGCAACATATACTGAAAACTGGCGCAGTAGTCTTGAAGGATGGAGATGAGGATTCATCTAGGTCTTCACCACGTTAAGGTAGAGGCATTCACGGGGGTATAAAATTACACAGCGTAATAAAACTGGTGTACATCTTGATTCCAGCTAAAAAAAACACCTAACATGCTGGGATACCTATGAAAGTGCATCATTCTTCCAGAATATATCCTAGAACAAGATTACGTACAAGGACTGAATGTGGAAGATAACAAAATAGAAGGCTAACGATACACCAAAACACGTGTTTGTAATCTCAAAAAGTCGCGTACAACAGTTGTAATAATAATTATTAACCTATTATTTTTTCCTTCACGTTCCCAGTGGAACACAGGGCCTCAAGCTAGTTGCTTGAAGTTTCAGTAGCAGTGTTCAATTTTACAGGATGGGGTTGCTGGCCCCATGCCTAACCTCTCCTCTTTACCAGCATTATATCCGGCTTAGCGAGGTGAAGGGGTGCGTCGGCCGAGCGTCCTAACTGCTGTGCCACCCATTATGGATAAAACTTATTCTGAAGTCACACAGCGTTATACGGTGATATCTACTGATGACGTTTCGAGTACAATTTATTGCTCATATTCATATCAAGGTGATATGACATGATTATGAACAATAAATTGTGCTCGAAACGTCATCAGTAAATATCACCGTATAACGCTGTGTGACTTCAAAATAAATTTTATCCATCATTCAATTCTACTCTAGTAGAGTTTTATCCTTATTTCGGCAATTATTATCGTATTAGAAAAAGGTCTACGAAATGAAGTATCGAATGGGTTGCTAAAAAACAGCTTACCTGATCGTTGAAATAGTTCAAGAATGCATCGCGGTAAAGATCCACTAGGTGATCTAGCAGTGTGCCACGGACGGTTTGACACTTAGCAGCAATGCTCAATTCATCAAGACATAAAGACTCATAAACACGAGCACAAGCCAACAAGGCATGTGGATCAGTATGGCGTTCTACGATTTCCTGAAAGTATATCAGTTTTAGTGGAAAAGATTTTAAGGCAACATATTTTGTTTGTTTTCTGGAACGCAACAATACAGCAAGTTTAAATAAATTAAAAACCTTACAGTCTCGTTAAACAATAGAACTTATTAATATGATACATAATTGAGTAATATTGTGAAAAAACCTTCCCAGGCGATAAAATATGATGGCTATTTGTTCAGATACTGGTGGACAGAGTATACTTGCACTCGGAAATGAACGTATCCACGATGAAAATTTCGTTTTCTTAGGACGCTGTATAAGTCCTGATATGTTCGTGGCTAATACGTGAAATACTCTTTCGTCTTTGCTGATGGCTAATAATCTAGTGAGCTTATGGCTATTTCCTACTAACAGTTTGTAAAGGTAATTTTTTCCCACTCTGGTTTTCTTTTAGCTTTGAAAACTATATTCTACTAAATTTGTATGACATGTAAAACTTTTCTATACGCGATTGTATGCAAGGTCACGTCGCCTCATATGCAAAACAAGAATTTGATTTCCATGCAGTCATCTTAACGGGCGGATCACTTTTCCTTACATCAAGGACATCTCAGCAACCATCAGCAGCGCACTTTGTCCACTTAGGATTGAGGTGATATATAAACATAAACTCTGCAAGCCAGGTTTCTTTGCTAAGAGGGATAGAATAAATGCATTTTATGAAACCATCCGCACAAACTCTTTACAAAACTATGCCCAACCACAAGATTACTGAAGAGACAGTACAAAAATTAACTAGTTATATGGGCAAACAATGTTTTCCCTTTGACGAATATAACCTCAACTTGGAGGATATTATTTTACAGTGTGCACGCTCAGATACAGAAAGATGATTTTAATAAACTAGGCGTTTGAAAAAGCGGTAGTCAACCGAGTTATAGCATATTCAAAAACATAGAATCGGTCCAGAGTTTTACCACTGGTTCAACTAGGTAGTATTCTTTCTCACGCAGAATTGTCCCGTGTTGCATTGTAAATCATATATATTGTATGCCATTTAATTAGAACTTCACATATCTTAGGAATAAATTATGAGAAACAAGTTTCCTTATAAGTAACATGAAATGTTTGAGTCATCAGTGTCTGTTTGATTAAACATTATTCTTTACTAGTTTTATCCAACAGGAAACACATGTTCTTGTCTCATTAGTCTCACGTTTGTGTTACGTTGCTAAAGCTGAAGAGTCTAAAAATAAAATGTTCACTTTTTAAACTAGAAATCTTGTTCTTCTTTGTTGAACATGACTAAACATAAATAAATAATAAAGATAATAGTAATATTAGATACTCTTCAATGACTATCAAAATAACTATCGTAATGAAAGTTAACATACTTGGACACCTTGCAATAAAAGATCCAAATGACGTTCATGCCGTCCCGTGGTATAGAGTTCCATCTCCATGTATGTTGGAATTGCAAGCAGGTTAGTTGCCCGTTCAGGAGACTCGCCATATTTAGACAGTAATGCTGGCAAGGCGGTTATCATTGCTTCTGTCATACGGTGACGTTCTTCTGTGAGGGCCCGAGCCTCTCGGGTAGAGGATACAGAGCTGCTACCAGGTCCGGCTGGTCCGCCACCTCGACCACGACCTGAAGCATCCTGAGCATTTGCACCACCAGTTTGCATGTTAGTGTTGGAATGTGAATGATGACCACCAGCCTGTGAGCAAACAACAAATTATGAACAGGGCATAACTGCAGAATATTTCAAGGCTAAGCATATAAAGCATTGATTATGAATACAACACAGAAAAATTAAGTTGCAAACTTAACTAACCTGTCTTCCTACTGGCGATTCACCGCTTGCTGCTTGACGAACACAGCAAACCATAATTTCAATCAAACTTGTTTCTTCATTAGCATCCATAGCTGTCTCACCCCTTCCAGGTTCCTCAAGTAGTAGGTCTAACATGGCTTCCCAGTCACGAAGCATCTGGCATTGATCCCACAAACTGTCAATCAAATAAGTGGCATGCTCGTGCAGCTAACGAAGAGAAAAGGTATTTAACATGAAGACCGTACAAAAATGAGACGAGATAAGGACTATAAAGCTTATTCCAATATATGTAACATATATGATACTTAATTCACATTACTTTCGATAGTTATTTTTTGTAATCTTGGCACACACATTCATCTTCAAAAGGTGAAACATCTCATACTACTCATTACATATTATCATGCTCTACGGACAAGAACATTCTTCACACTTAAATCTTAATTCCTTGGAGTTATCCGAAACCTTAGCATCGCACTGCGACACAGAACAGCACGGCAAACAAGGACAGAAAACTAAACTCTAAATAGTGGCTTAGATTTCTTAAACAATACAACAAGAAGTCCGAAGTCCCAGAAAGACAAGCGAACAGCTTTTTGCGGTAGATTTGTGATTGCAGTCGTTCAGCCTGCAGAGACACTGGGACGGTTTGGCAACTTTTCAATGTGACGCGATTGCCACCAGTCCAAATACTGTTGTGACATAAGTAACCATTCCAATTTTATCATCAGTCCAAAACTGACACAAATGACAAATGACGATATTATTTTTCATATACGAAATATTCAATAATCCACTAAATTAATAAATATATGGCGCAGCGATAAGGGATAATGACGCTTGTTAACTCACTTCGCTTTCGATGAAGAATTGTACGAGGTCACGAATGAGTGGTGTATTTTCACTGCGCTTCTTCCCCTTTCTGGTTCTAGTAGGAGGTGCATGAGAATCAACTTCAAATAGTTTCAATGTCAAAAATTCCGCTGCTGCTTGTGCTAATGGCCTGTGAGTGCAATATACCAACTCGTAAATATTTTCGCAATCTTTGTCTTCTAGTACTGAGTCGCTATGTCTGAGGAAAAATAGAAGATTATATTAAATTTCGCCTATATTACAACTGAGCAATTAAATTATTTAAAAATGTATAAGGAACCCCACGATTTCACACCAAAATTCAATAGCATAACCTTAAATTATTTGTAGCGTTATAGTTAAAACAATAAAACCAATTTTTTTAACTGGTGCGGTGATTAAATCAAGATAAACTTCAGGCAAATCATCGGAATAACACCCTATATTGACTGAAAAATAAAGGTGCTAATGTAACTACAGTAGTATGGAAAACAAGGATCATATTGAAGCTTATGTCTGTGTAATTTTGTACTTCCCAATCGAAAGGAAACAGTACTATGAAAGAAATACAACAGGGTGTTTGATTTAAAATGTGAAGTACATTCAAAATCAGACCTGTGTTTAAAACTGGGTTTTCCGAGGACTAAGTGCTTATCTTCGTGATTTCCCATGGTTCGGCTGTTTCATTTGATTTGTTCTCCACATTCCCATTGACTGTGAGCTTAAATACTTGGAGGCTTTAGTTCACTTGGTTGGTTTATCTGTGGGTTTTATAATAATTTTTGCCAATTACATTGACAAAAATCATTGCTAATATTTCAGCTATGAGATGATGGATGGGATTGCTCCTGGTTACTTGTTACCTTAGCATTTTCATGTTGTTTCTCGAAACAATATTACTTAGTTTACCTTCCCAAATCATAATTTTAATTTTTGATTACAGCTTAAGTGAATGCATACATATTTTACCAGATCTTTCCATGAACATGCATCGCGCTATCGTCTACCGTCACTAAACATCCCCTTAAAACTATTGGTAGATTTACAATGTACAAAAGACTGACGTAGTCCTAGTGCAACAAAAACGGCAAAATTACTCCAATACTTAATTAATTAGGAACTGGAAGAATATAAAACTCACTTCAGAATGCAAGAAACTAATTTCACAGCCTGAACTGCAACTTCTGTTTCCTTATCAAGAGTCATATCCACAAGACGTGACTTAAAACGTGAGGTGAAAAGCTCCAAATTATTAATAAGTGCAGGATCTTCATACAAGGGTTGTAGAGCACGAAGGCACTGAAGACGAACATCTCCAATTCTGTCATAAAGTGTCCAACCAACATATTTTAAGTAGCTATCATCGAGAAACATCGCAGGATAACGACGCATCCAAACGCCTATTTCTTGCATACATATTGCTCGTATTTCTGCTTGGCTATCCCTGAAACGACAGGAAAGTTACTTTGTAAGTCATCAGATGAGAAAATAACATAAATGCTTATGAGTGTATAATTAATTCTCCCCATTACAATTATTACAGAACACAATCTAAGTATTAAGCTTCCGAACCGTAGATGTTCTGAATTTCCTGGAGTAATTCGAGCGCCGAGTAAGTATGTATTTTCGGTAATTTCTCATCAGTCTACAATCACATGATAAAATACTAATCATTAATATTTGAAATCAATTTGGTTAACGAAATTAAAGTTTAGGCATATGAATTAGTAGATAATAGTCGAGTAAATTATCACAATAATAACAAGGATGAATCCATCCGAGTGTAGTCTCACAATATGGTACCAACACTTAAGTTAACAGTACAAATAAAAGTAATATTTACACTTATCCCGTCATTCGGAAGGATAACTATTCTAGATTTTGGGTGGAAGGACTGAACAAACTTTGAAAAATGTTTGTAGCAACTACCTCAAATATGCTTAGTAATCGGAAGAGTACTAATCTTGGAAAGCACTTTGTATAGAATTGTAAAGGCCAAATTTTCATCAGTCTTTTGCTCCATATGCAATACATTAGGTGCGCCAAGGTGGAACTCTTGACTGAATCAACGAATTCTCCTAGCCACGTTGAAAGGTGGCAGTTAGGTGGCCGAGTTGTTCTACCTACGTAACTGCTTCCTCAAAAGCAACTGAATTTATAAATGAACACTGAAGTGGATAGACTCACATTCGCCTGTAGTGGAATTTCAGTCCTAGTTTCACAATCGATTATAAAATCAAACACCAGTATCTAATCACTATGAGATAATACGTATTTCCCCTTTACCTCTACACACTCACAATGATTGAACACCCAGATTACATACACTTGCATAAATTTACCTCCGTTGTTGTTATGACAATCGCCTCGATCACTGTCTACTTAACTTGTACGCCTAAACTTTGGTTTTCTTAGCCACATTGATTTCACTATTGAGATCAAAAATATGTTGGTGTTCACTGCAGTGCAAGTGCAAATGAAAATCACAGCAACTGTTTCTATTTACGTGACATAATTTCGCATTTGAGTCAAAGAAAGGGACAAACAATCATGCTCTTCTGGCTGGTTCACAAGTCTAAATGCACCCACACTTAACACGGTTACATCCAAGGCACCTTTAGAACCGCAAAATGTATGGAAGACATGTTTTTTCTTTTAGAACTTCACCAAAGTTAGCTACATTGTTGCAAAACAAGGACATCCACCTAAAAAACATCTGCAAAACAAGGTCACACTGGATGAAATATTGACTGATACAGCAACATCTGGTGTATTCCTGTGATATGAACCCAGCGTTTACAGCCACCATTCGGCATTACTTATTGCACATGTAAGAAGTCCTGTTTCAAATCCTACGTCTGAAAGTTATCTTATAGACAGTTAGGATAGGTCTTTCGAACTAATAATTTTATCCCAAATATTTTACACATTCGCAAAAATTTACTTCTAGAGGTGACAACCGTTAGGCAACGGAATCTCTGACTTTATTTTAGCCTTAATACTACGTTACATCTTGAAGTACGCTGTGGCATAGAGGGTTTGAATAAGAGGTAAGAATAATAACGAACTGGGAATGACGCTTAAAGACACAATAAAGGTCATATTTGAATTTACCTGTATCGATGGACAAATATCCCTTTGAAAATATATATCAGCATGTTTTTGACTTCGTCCATGTTTTCTTCTAACTCTTGTCGACGTTGCATCAGTACTTCAAGCCTATCAGAAGCACGTCGATTCTGCATTTTTGATCTTTCAGCCTCGTACTGACGTTGTGTATTATCTCTGTTAATACTAACATTTAGTGCAACATCAACAAGAGCAGTCATCATTTTCATGGCAGCCAACGTACTGGTATGTCTAAACGCCCGAACCTGTTAAACAGTAGAATGACGTTCATTCAATGCAATATTCATTCAACGGATCAAATTTATTACATAAAGGCTATAAAAATTTCGAAACTGCACTCGGATGATTTGTCCCAATAAATGCACTTGTTTGCTTGGCTTAATCTTGTATGCACCAGCTTTAGAATCACTAGTTATCCATGTGTCATATATGATCTAAGGTACAACAGCTGGTCTAATGAGCTATTCGCCATTTCGTGTCTCAAGATATGTAACTAGGCATGTATGCCTTAATTTCTGGGGAAAGCATAAGACCACTGAGAGGAACAACCAGTTTGTTCAAATAATGATATACGCATTGACTGTGTGACTATATATTGGTTTTTAGGAGAACCGAACATACATGCTAACCATTTGCTTGACCAGAATTGCATAATAATTGTCATACGGCTACCCACTCCTCCAGTGGCCCGTTCACAGCAATGATACATAAATACTTACGTATATATAAGCAGTCACTCTAACCAACAACTATGTCAATCGAAGGCAGCACCTACACGACTAAATGAAATAGTTGACTCTAACCAATTAATTTGGCATACAACTAGCTCCAATACACCTTACCAGGACTAACGCGAACCATCTACCACGGTATTAGTGAGCAATGAGAATGATGAGAATCTGAGCTATGACTTACGCCAAGTCTTTAATATAGCTAGTGCTTTAGTTACTGTAGAATATACAGGTAGCAAGGAAGGGGACCTAGATGGACACAAACAAACCTAGACAGACTTAAGACCTTGACAACTTTTATATTGAACTGCGTCACTTGCGAGCACTACAAATTTTCATCTTTTTAACGTTTTGGACCGTGAGGCAGAAGAAACATCCATAAGATAAACCGCATGTTTGTCATTGCATTCTCCTTATTTATGTAAACATGATTCAGATTAATCATTTTTCACACCTCGATACTGTTCGGTATATTTCCGTTTTTGTCTGGACGACCGTTGTCCTTAATACGGTGGTACTGGAGGAATATTTTTTATTTCAGTTTTAACACATGTCAGTTTTCAACCTAAGAGCTAAGACATCTGCGGGAAAATTATGTTCTATAGCCTCCTGAAACATTTGTTCCAACAGCCTTTTGATAGCATCACTATAAAGCTGCTCAAAATGGCAGTCAATGCACACATTACATGCATGATCCGCACCAAATTTAGCTTCTTAGACCTTAATCCTAATGATAATGAAGTTAGTATTATGAGCTCGGTCGTTCCTACACCTAAAACAACGATTATGACTTTAATATATGTGTAAAACTTGGGCACTGCATGGAACGATTATGACTACCCGTTACACATTATTTAAATACGTAAAAGAAAACAAAACTCACCTGAGAATCGGTAAGACCTGTCAATAGCGAGATGACCTGGTCAATCATACATTGATCATAAATTATGCTATACTGACACTGACGAATCAGCACCTGGATAAATTCAACGAAATTCGAACGGAAACGTTTCCAGATTGGACTTGACTGTATCAGCGGGTATTCACCTGATTCCTCATCAAACTCTTCAGTCATCCGACGAATAATATCAGTGTGTGAAAGACGACTATACATTTCTGGTGTTACCTTACCTATACGAATATTTTAAAACGTTAGGCGTAAGCGAAAACATTATGATAAGCAATTAAAAATAAAACAGAATGTCTATTGGGAATGAATATTACAGGTAGCAATACAGTAGTTTAAACTCAATTACCCGTAAGACGAAAAATGTACCACATCATGAGCCATACTTTTCACCCAAGGGTTGATGACACCAGCTATTTTTTCACAGAGATGTAAAACTCGAAATCGGGTTAACATCAGGTGCTTAAGTTAATCAGCCGGGTGAGGCTAACACCAGAACCCCGAACTCGATTTCTGAGCTTTGATAGGTAAGTGGATTAATTCAAAATCGAAATTTTAAGTCACTGGTTGCAGAGCTAGAAGGATCGGTGCTACAAATTCAAGTTTCCGTTGCTAAGTGGACGCAGTAATTTTACTGGACGATCTTAAACCTTATACAATGACAATCGGACTATATATATATATATATATATATATATATATATATATATATATATATATATATATATATATATATATATATATATATATATATATATATATATATAATGAAGTTATCCGTACAATTTCAAGTCAGTTTGTCTTTTGATACTTTCGTGACCCAATGAAGTAGAAAGCACCGGGAGAATAGTAGAGTTCGGCTATGGCACCTCCCACTTTCAGTATCGTTACACTCACATAATAATCTTTCCGATTACTATGAAGAACTTTGTACAGCGCCGTCAACATGATAAACACTCAGTTATTTTGTAACCCGACGCACAGTTCTAAATTAGATAGGTTGAGACCTTTACCAGACAATTCGATGCTTGTATCAAATAACGTGAACGTGATATCCGTTTCTGTGTATAATACTTCACAGTATTTTGCACGTATCCCTTTTATATCAACACTCGAAACACTTTGTCCAAACGTAATAACAGTCAGTTGTACTGATTATTGTATCCTGTTCATATGTATATATGTAGGTTTGACCATTACGATAAATTTAAAGACCGTTTACAATCAAACAAATACTAAACAACCAGTCAAGCTTTTACACAACAGGAAGTCTGCGTTTGCCTGAGCACCAGGATATTTGAAGTTTGCACTTTGGCACGTCAGCTTCTCCCATCTGATTTTAAACATTGGTTGTAGTTGGTCAACTAGCTGGCGAACCTTTGGTTACAGTGACGGTCTCAGTTTCAACACAGAACTTGGCACAAGAATGCAGCAATCCAAGTTGCCACACCATGTAACACACCAAGGTAAAAAACAGAACCAGAGAAACTATGAGGGGAAATGTGCAAGAAACCAAAAACAGCAGTAAAGGAAAACATGGGGATTCAATGGGTATAGAATATCGCATCTGCACCATCTGTCTGTCTGTCTGTTTTCGACATAGAACTTTGCACAAATGTGCGGAAGTTCAAGTCGCCACATTCCGTGTAGCACGCGAAGCAAGCACCATCACTGAGAACGATTCAAAGTCAGATCACCAATTGCCTTCAGCCTTCATTGGCTCTTACCGTTCTGAGGGCCCGAACTAGTTAGCCAGTCAACACCTCGCTATGAGGCTAAAACTAACTGTCAAAGATTTCATGGACTGGTCCCAAGTTTCGGTCTGAATACCTTTATCTCTTTTTAAAACCTGATTCTATGACGAAGCCTCGCAATCTCGTCGACTGATGGTATTTTTTCATCTAAAAATTGACCCTCAGCTTCAATTTTACTCGACGCGGGGTATAGGAAGCTGACGCAGACACCTTCCACTTTCAATGGCTGTCTCACGCTACAAAGTGTGCAGCGAACTGGTGAACAGTACTCACTTCCTTTGATCGATAGCCAGATATCACGTCTATGGCACAGATGACGTAAGTTCGCAAATGTCATACAGACATCTGTATCAAAAATCGGTCTTTTGGGGCTGGTGCAACTACCCTAATATGTGAAGCGGTCAAACACGCTGTTCTAGTTCACTTCCTGTCTTCAAGCTAGGAGTCGGTGCACTCCAGTTTTGCTATTGGCATTTTAAAACAGATGTGCATATCTAGATGATTTATTCAGATAGAAGACAAAAGCAGGAGGATAAATTTTCAAGGCTAAATAGAGTATGTAAATATAAACACTAGGGCATTACTCTATGCTTACCTTTACACCCGCTGCAGGATATAAAGAACTGAATTAGTTCCAACATAGCAGGTTCTCTATTTGTCTTATACTGCTCTATCCAATCATCCACTACCGTTTGCGGTGCAACCCTCCCGGATCGTATGGCTCCATAGAGGGTATGCTCGTCTTCATCGGACAAAGTCCCAGCAGCTGTAAGGTAATGAAAAGAATAAAATCGCAACCCAGAAATCGTGTTAAGGGACTAACACCACATCAACCATGTAAATACAAATTACAAAATTAAAGTCATATTCCTATAGTTTTCGTGAAACGGTCATTAGTCTAGTACTCATATTCATTCACCAGAAATAAAAAAATGAAGCGCATATTATCACATGCGAGCTGAAACGAACGAATTGTGGCCGTTTGAATTTGAAAGGAAGATCAAACACAACGCAACTGAGCAACAGACAAAATCAGTACGCTATTTCTCAGAAATGCTATGCCAACTACCGCATTATTTTTAGAGGAACAAGGACACTTCGATCGGTAAGGTCTTTCAGGGTCACTACACAAAAGCGATATGATTATACCACTTACCAACGTCAAAAGTGGGATGAATGGGAGGTCGACCTCTTCGTTTCTTGACTGGAGGAACATACGGAGCTGAGGGAGTTTGGAAAGCAGTCGACATATGAGGGTGTTGATTGCCCGAATGAGGGACCTCATTATCTCCGGAGGCACTATTATTTACTTGCATCGGCAAATGGTGTCCCGGATACTGTGGACTAGACAGTTCTGTTGTTGAATGAGCAGTCGCTTGAGGATTTTGTATTCTAGATGCATCACTATGATAAGGGTACACAGGCTGTTGCAAATGAGATGCATGAGTAAGAACATGTGACTGGTCTTGCATTTGGTAATTTGAAGCGTTATAAGTATCCTTCAAAATGGGAGAATGATGCGATCCGTGTTCTATAGCAGGCGAGTACTGGGCACTAGGTGTGACAGAAGGATTGTTAGACTGTAGAGAACGGGAGATTTGCTGGTGGGTAGGCATTTGGATGTGCATTTGATTCACTTGACTGTGAGGACTTGTATCATGATTGGAAAGTGATTTCACCAATCTTTCGTTACTGTCATAGACTATAAGAGCAAAAGAATTAAGAAAAAATATCAAAGATGTGAGGGGTGAGCTAAGGTAATCCAGAACGCAAAGAACAGAAATTCTCAACAATTTATTTCAGTTTTCTGCCTTGAGATGCAACAAGTGAAAATGAGAAACTCATACGAAATCTTAGTCAGTTGATATCGTCATTTTGGTAGATATCCTGCAACCGACCATTATAACAAACTATGGGACGCGGAGACGTACACGTCACTTCGTCATTAAATCGAAATAGTAGCGAAAATAGTCCAGTAAAGATTCTGAACCAGGTGTACACAAGATGGATTCAGTTTAGTTTCCGTTCAACCAGTGATAGATTTAAACCAAGGGATCTAGTTTTCACCACTGCCACAGTATTTTTTATTTTTTTTTTATTACAGCTTGATTCCATACCGTATTTTACGGTACAGATATGGAATTTTCAGCATGTGATATCGGTAGCCCAAATTTTGCAGGCCGACCATAGATATCAAGTGTGCGTCGGCAGGGGACCGAACCCCGGACCATATGCATGGTCGGCGAGAGTCCTAACCGCTGTGCCACCGACGCACAAGTAGAAGCACATTTCGTACTGCATTCGAGTTTTCATACACTTAGTTACCACGCATAGCCTTCACACTGTCAATGCCAACAGTGTTAGCTCGATAATATTTGGGATTTACAATCCCTCATCGCATAACACTTTTGCTGTGCTAAGAAGCTTGGAAACTTCAAGTTAAAAATGTCAGGTAACCATGTTAGATCCCTTTTATCTGGTGCTGACATCCCTTAGCTATCTTGATATTCATGAGTACATGTATGGATGAGCTGCAGACTCTGAAAAGGTATTAACTTGAGGCACTGGCTTGGATGTGCTAAGAATTGTCCCAGTGGCTTCCACACCCCTGTCCAATGACTGACCCTGCTGCTTAAGTTTAGTTGGATCAACATCTGTTAACTAAACTAACAAAGTACCAATAATTAGTAGATAAACACAATGCAAAGGAATTCTTGTTGCTGTAAATGAACGTATGTGAGCACATGTTTTAAACCCTAGGCTTCTGTTTTCCTCAAATGGAGAGGAAGTTATGTTGAACCAATGTGTAAGATACGTAAGCTGAGTATGCATCCAGTACGCCAGTTGAGATGCATGTCTGGCAACCAAGTTACAAAGGTGTTATCTTATACAGTCTTGGTCTTTACTGTTTCAATGTGCATGTTGGGAGAAAGGGTTCCCGGAATACTAGATACAAGGAAAAGGGCATCATGAGGGCTTCATCATTACAGCCTTTATATGCTGCTACAGTTATACCACTATTCTCAGGTGTCTTTCCTCTTAGTCATATATGCCGTGATATGGGCCCTAGATAAGGGAAAAATGTTTCACTTAATACCACTCAGGAGCTCAGTGGTATTGCTACCATCATACAAATACCCTCTACTACAATATACGGCAGCAGTGCCCAGGTTGGTACCGAAAGCAAATCCAGGCAAGACACTGGAGACTGGCAGGCTACACACTATATTCACCATATCTGCCTTATATCAGGTTCTTATATGTTTGACTTGGAGACCCCCATCATCAAACCAACGCTGGACACAAATAGACCACATAGCAATAAGCTATCGTTGGCGTGGGTCGGTAGGAGATTGTCGCTCCTTCTGGAACACGTGTGTAGATACCGACCATGCACTGGTCCGCGCTCGGGTGTGCTTACGACTGAACGGACGTAGGAAACAGCTGGCGGTAAAACCATCACGTCCCCAGCTCGATCAGGAAACTAAATCCGTATTTGGGGAAGAACTAGCTAAACACATATCTGTGTTCGACAGCTGTGCTCACCCTGAAGAAGCTTGGAAAAATATCCAGGCAGCCATAGATACAGCTGTAAAAGCTGTGAATAAGGTAAACCCAAAGGTGAGTAAAAACCACTGGATCTCCACCGCCTCATCCGAACTGATAGATGCTAGAAGACTTATTCCGGCGAGCTCCGAATTCAATGAGGAGCGAAAGCTGCACAAAAGGAAACTTACGAAAAGTCTCCGCAAGGACCGTGAACAGTGGTGGGTGACAAAAGCCAAAGAGATGGAGAAAGCTTCGAGGATAGGCAACACCAGGCAACTCTTTAGCTCATCAGGGAAACGGGTGGGAGAAGACAAATCATTAGTGAAACAATCTCGGAAAAAAATGGCACTATAATTAGCTCCCAGGATAGACGACTGGATCGTTGGAAAGAGCATTATGAGGAGCAGTTTAATTGGCCCACAGCCACGCTCAACCTTCCGAGCATCCAACACCTCCCTGAATGGGATATAACCACAGGTCCTCCATCCCTAACTGAGGTTACTAAAGCTGTCACCAATCTGAAACTAGGCAAAGCAGCGGGACCTGATGGAATGACTCCAGAGGTATTTAAGTACGGTGGAGACAGCTTACTGTCTGCATTAACTGAGGTACTAGGCAGCGTCTGGGAATCAGAAGTCCCATCGGGTTGGTGTAAGTCACTGATTATCCCCATATACAAGAAGGGAGACAAGTCTTCCTGTGATAATCACAGAGGGATTAGCTTGACTAATATAGTATCTAAAGTCTTAGGCTCAATAATCATGCGTAGACTGAGTGGTGCTCGGGACACACAAACACGAGAGAGCCAGGCAGGCTTTAGACCAGGAAGAGGGTGTATTGATCATATCTTCACCCTCCGACAGATTCTAGAACATAGGAATTCCTACCGGCGTCCAACAGTCATTATATTTCTTGACCTAAAGGCAGCATTCGACTCTGTCGATCGAGTTCTCTGGAGATGCTTGGCTGTAAAGGGAATTCCAAGAAAATATATTGCACTGATTAAGGCACTCTACTCGTACTCATACAGCCAGGTGAGGGCTTACGGCGAGCTGTCATCTGAACTGATGACGACCAGTGGTGTCCGTCAAGGATGCCCATTATCTCCTTTTCTATTCAACTTCATCATAGATGTGTTAATGGACTTAACCCTAAGTGACTTCAGCGACTCAGGGATTGACTTGCTACCAGGGAATAATCTCGTTGACTTGGAATATGCAGACGATATAGTCCTTCTAGGCGAAGACGCTGACAAAATGCAGAGTCTTCTAAACACCTTGAACAGCAATCTACGAATGTTTGGCATGCGATTCGCTCCCGCCAAATGCAAGATGATGTTACAGGACTGGACTACATCGACGCCTAGTTTAAAAATAGGAAGTGAAGTGGTAGAGCACGTTGACCGCTTCACTTATTTGGGAAGTACCATCAGCCAATGCCAACGGGTTGATCTCTGACGAAATCTCAGCACGAATACAGGGGGCTCGTTTCGCATTTGCCAGTTTACGCCGACTCTGGCGTAGACGAGATGTTCGACTATCGACCAAAGGGCGGGTGTACTGCTCATCAGTCCGCTCCGTCCTCCTTTATGGTTGTGAGACCTGGCCACTGAGAGTGGAAGACATGAAAAGACTAGCTGTCTTTGATCATAGGTGCCTGCGTTCTATTTCCCGTGTAAAGTGGCATATTGAGATTAGGCGTCGGTCGAGTTCTAGGTAAACAGGGGAAATCAATCGACGAAGTCGTGAAGTTACAAAGACTGAGATGGTTAGGACATGTGTTACGTATGCCAAGTCATCGCCTCCCTCGACGAGCAATGTTAGCGGATATAGGGTCAGGCTGGAAAAAAGCTAGCGGCGGTCAAACAAAAACTTGGCACCAGTCAATGAAATCCACAACAGTTGGTCTAAGCCACGTACGTAGGAAGGTGTAGACTTCCAGGCTGGGGGTCCTCGGGACGGTAAAAATCTATGGTTGGAAACAATTGGTGACATGGCTCAAAATCGTTCTCAGTGGCGCAGATGCATCCACTCCTTGTGACTTATGATTTCCAATGAAACTGTTTTGTTCGTCGTTATTACTCCTCCTTTGTCTCACACCTCTGCTTACTGTCTCTATTATGCATTTCTTCTACCTTCTTCTCTTGCTTTGTGTGTTGCAAAGTGGGAGTGTGGCGACTTGAACTGCAGCACATATGTGCAAAGTTCTATGTCGAAAACAGACAGACGGATATCAGGTTCCAGAGATTATGAAGCCGCAGTCATGGGCTACCTTAAAAGTGGATGACATACAACTTGTAACTCACTGCTAACCAGCAAACCTGAGATGCATGTCGCTATTTTAAAAGTAGTTTGGAAGTGAATACTAGTTTATGTGCAGTAGCATGATTTGGTGATAACAGCACGAATTCACAATGTAGCGACCCTGTGTAGCGAAATTTTTCGTGGGTTAGATCACTGGTCTGCGAGCCGCACAACTCTGATCAAATGTATAACATTTAACAAAGCCAATCCTGAACGTAATTGAGAAATTCTACAGTACAAGCACTTTCGTTTGATACACTGACTCAGGATATGAAATATTAGTTGGTAGACTAACACCTGGCTATGCCCTGGACGACACAATCACAGAACAACTTAGATGTACTAAGAAACATTTTACACCTCTGAATCAATTATTCTATGGAAAAAAACTTAGTGCTCAAAGTGTTTTTAAAATATAGAACTCATAGGTCAAAGTGTGTACTTCAGAGCAATACCTTGGGGGGCAAAACTAACTGAGCGTTGATGCTGCATCTGCTGTTGCATTAACATTTGCTGTACAGATGAAGCAGGATTGACATACGAATCATGGACATGGCCAAAATGATGGGCTTGGGATGGAATACCAAATTGGCTTGGCAAACGACTATTAGCACCTTCGTGCTGTAAATGCCCGGTATTAGGATGGGAAGACAGTGAACTCCCAGCAACATGAGGATGACGGGCATGGTACTAAAAAGAAAAACACAGATACATCCAATTAACGTACTTACCTAACAAAATTTGGTGACCGTAAATAGACATTTAAAAATTTACGGACATTGTGTCTTACAAGAGGCTAATACGTTTAGTAAACATCAGATATAGAGAGTATGGTAAGTACATTCAAATTAACTTAAAAACAGTTGCTGTCATCGTATTATACTGATATATTTCCTTTCAAAATAAGGAGACCAACCTGATCCATTTGAAGGTTTACATCCATGGACGCAGCCATATTGTTTGATTTAATCGATCCATAGTGAGCCGATAATTAAAACAAACGGACCCCATTCAATTACTTCCAAACGCTGTTACAGCGTTATCCCGCTTTAACTGGAACTGACATACAAATTATCAGGTATGTGATTTCCTCATCTTTACCAACTTGTTAAGGCTTTTCTGTGTATATATTCACGAGTTTAGTGTAGGCAGTACATAACTGTCTATTCTGGTCCTTTCCACACTTAATGAATTCACATTAATTAATTAAGCATTTACATGTACATGCCGTTTGTACAGGCATGATCATATTTGACAGGTATAATTTTAGATTGAACAATGTTTTGTGACATAAATGTCGAAAATGGGAATTTAAATTCTAGAAGCTATACAAGAAGTTTGTAATGTTTACTTTTAATCGATGGCACAGTGGTTAGGACTCTCACCGACCATCCACATGAACCGGGGTTTGATCACCTGCCGACACGCACCGGATATCTATGGTCGGCCTGCAAATTTTGGCTACCGATATCACATGTTGTAATCAGAAAAAAATGTTATAAGATGTTGGCTTAAGTCTAAATTTTAATCGTTAATATACGTAAAGTGAGCCGACTTCACTCAGGAATTACAGAAGGTTACGTTATTGGAAGGTAAGAAGAAATGTGATACACAGATGCTAGAAAGGCACAGAATGCAGAACCTTCAATCATTATCAATTAACCAGTCATGAAGAGTTTGAAAATTCATAGAATTCTGCAGTAGCCGGTAAGTACAGTAATGTGTTGATAAAGCAGATTTATGGTTCCGACTTTGCGATGATAAACAGATTTCATGATGAAGGTTGTTCCGTTACTCATCATATGTGCTAACAGTAATCTGATTATCCATCAAATGTAGGTTTTAGTGAATTCAAAACTCCGTCCAAGTGATCTTCTCCGTCACACACTAAACTTACTCTTAGCCAACTTCTGAAATAAATAGGGTATGCACAGCTTTGAACGTCAGACTTCTGCAGCAGTTATCTGTATCCTACTCTGTTGTTTTAAACATAGATGCTAATGTAGAATTTAAGTTTCTAACTTATCTAATGGTGCTGCCGTTCGGATTCTGTGTTCGTTAATAGTCAATGTTGTCATAAGCATTCTCTCCGTGAGTGTATCAGAGCAATAGTGGTACATTACAATTGCATTCTGCTCAGCTGCAGTCCTATTCAGCTGGTTCTCATCAGTGGTCTCCTAAATACATGGACATTCAATCTTCATACTTGCTGTGCGATATGTTCCTGGCTGACTTGTTACTTAAGTATGTTCCTCACTGCCTATTTTCTGCCGAAAATCTGATCTTCGGCATATGGTGAAGGGAAAAGATATCGACAAAGCTCTGCAGTAGCCTACTGAGAATAAATTTCATGAGCCGCTTGCCAAGCTACTGAACCATTTAGAAACACCAGCTTTACACTAGCATTGGAGATTTGGATTTTGGCCTCTCTCTGAATCCTGCAGATTGTTCAGCTGATTTCATTGCAGTGGGAGCCTGCATTTTTTCACGGTGCTATTCAAGCTGACTTTGACGTCTTCATAAGTGCTGAATGTACTTTAGGTGATGCTGAATAACTAGGTGAGGAGACTTACGTTAGATTTATCAAACCCATGAGGTTGGGTGTTTTCAGTCAATGATCGGTTATCTTCATCAACGCTGTCTTCTATATGTCCCGTCTAAATTCTGTCTTCAGAAACTACGCCGCTACTGTTTTAGACTCCGCTTTCAAATATTCAAACTCGGGCTACATAAGACAGGAGTCCTCGGGATTTAGATCTTTCAGAGCCTTTTCATACTTTCAATTGTTGCCCATTTCTGTATAATCCGGACCACTGCAGTCAAGAAAAACATGGGAGATGGTTTAGGGTATTGATGAAGTCCATCCATTCAGATGAATCTTAACCATTTGGCTTTCAACAGTCTGTTTGTCTGTCTGTGATGACTGTGCCGGATCCTGGACAATTAAGTTTCCAGCTAGCATGAGCTTGGCTGTGCTTTGTGGTGTGATCGTTTATTACTGCTCAGTCTTCATAGCGTTATAAATAAATAAATCTTAGAACGGCCATAAATGTCATGTTCTCTCTTCTCAAGTTGGGGCAGTATTAAGAGCCATCAAGTAGAGTGGGTTAAACAGTCAGCAGGTAGGGTGACTGAAACTGAGGTCTAGTCCAATGGATGGTCGAACAGCAACTGCGAGCGTTATTTCTAGCTGAAGCGGAACGAAGTCGAACTCGAAGTTGTTTAAGCAGTGTGGCTAATTTGTTTCCCAGTAAAGTGTGCAGTGTTCTCTTATTCTTGTCTTCATTTCAAAGGCTTTGCTTTATCAACAGCCGCCTTCGCTAGGTTCCCACTGAAGACCAGATGGCGAGCCGGAAAGTATTAGCACCGAGAAACTTTGTAAACGAGCCAACGAAGAATGTATTACTCAGTAGATATTTAGAAGAAAATAGGGGTGTATTTGCCACACGCTGAGAAGAGCGTGGGATGACATTGCACACGGGGCCTTCGAGTGGAACGCTAATGGGAAACGGCTAGTGGGGAGTCTGAGCGTGACGTAGAGGATATCGCGGAAGGAGGAGATGAGAGCATGTGAGGCACCCGTGAGGCCAAATAAAGAGAACTACAAGGAACAAATAAAGTGCTGCTGAAGATTCTACGTTCCACTCTGAGCCCAAGGGACCATCGACTAACGGTAGTGCATATCCAGCTCACCGGTGGTGTTTTCCCATCTCTCGTTTCCAATTTTTGGGAGGAAGAAGTCAGTTAAGATCGGGCCCAATGGTAAACCCACGGCAATTCCATCCAACTGTAAGCGCTATGGATAAAGTAGAAAAATGTATATTCATTGTACATGTAACGAGACCTCTGAGGCTAGATAAGCGAATTCCCAAATCCATTTGACATTCGGCTATTTCTTGGCATTTGTAATCCACTGTTTGTACAAGTGGTGCATTCTTAAATAGTGATCATATGTCCATGGCTAACACAGGTGTTACTGAATATCTTTCACCGTAGCAGACATAACAATCTGCAGCTCCGTTTCGCAACACTTGGTTGATAGACGTCATTTAGCGGATAAAGGAAAATTATTCATTGTTCATAGCATCCCAACGAATCTTTCGATGGACTACATATCCTTCTAATCCACATAGCTGAAAAGATAGGCATTCAAACCATTAAGCCCAAACAGTTCATTCAAAAGAGATATGTAAAGCCATTATCTCTTCCTTGTTCTATCAAGAATCAACTTACTGACGGCGTCTCCGCAATTCCTTACCTGTATTTCCAAATCCTGTCTTATCGCCCTTTAATCTTATCAGATCTTCATTAAAAACCAGTTTATTTGCTTTCCCTACAATCTAGTATTACCATTTGTTTTCTTGTCCACTGTCCACTACTTCTGCGTGAACGTTTCTCTTTTTAATCATACCATTTTTCAATATTCCTGTTATCACATCATCCCACTTTCTCATCCTTGTTATTTAGGCAAACGTTACCGATAGTATTATTGTCACTATTATCATCATAATGACTCACTACACAATTTAAATGCACACTCTTATCATCCTATTGACAAAATACGGTAACCGGTTTGTACATTAATGTTTGTCTGGTGAATAATATATCATTGTTAGGCCCTATGAAATCTAGTTGAAAACTATACTGTTCGCTTAGATCTCTTATTTTAACTTCAAAGAATTTTTCACATAGTTGAAATAAGTGGGAACTCAAATTGCTAGTATCCTGTAGTGTTTCCGGAGTAGGAACATTAAACTTGCCTCTGCTCAAATTCCAACCTACTTTAATGGCTTAATTTTTGTGGGCGGTCGATTATAATACTGGCCGGGACCCAATTAAAGAAAAAATCGGGTAACAACGCCTTCGAAATATCTTGTAATCGAATCGATACTGGAGCACTACCAGAATACAGAAAGGCATGTGTCAATCACGTCTCATAAACCGTTAATGCCCAGCTCTCGCTACGCTCGGGCCCACGCTGTTCCTTGAAGATTTCAGAAACGCTTAGTTATAACGGACGCGAAAACCAAAACACCGATTGGCCGCTTGATATTTCTTTATCGTTACACCAACATATGAAAAGAATAAGTGAACTAAGGTCTGAAAACAAATATTGCAATAATAAATCATAAGATTACTTCTGACGATATTTCACTCTTCTTTCTGAACAGCGACCGATGAGACGATGACTGTCGTATTGATGCCTCCGCGAAAATTGGGGAAGTTGATTTTGAGCAAACAACCATGAATTGATCGTTAAATCTTCAACTCCATTGACACTCCCCGGCAAAAAAGGGATCCAACCCTTTTTTCCTTCACGACCAATGCACGTTGACTTGGATGCCATTGCGAGAAACTGGGTCACATGGACAGAGCTGAAATGGAAAACAAACAGAAAAGCCAACACACCACAAGCATACCCACAGCACAATCTCACACATCGCTGACGACCTGCGCCTCCAGACAGAGACCTCCTCTTGACATCTTGCAACACAATCGCCACTTACTAGAATGACTCTTGCAGAATGCAACATGACCATAGCACCAACTCATGATACTCTACGCACATCCTCTTATCTACTCACTATCAATTACCACTGAAATCGCTCGTCACTCATTCTGCCTCAGTTCTAGTAGCGGTGACGTATGGGAGCCTCAGTCGTTTACACTCTTTCTCCCCGGCGTGTCGGACCGCAGCTAACAATTATCTCCGTGTGCATTTCATTCTCAGCAATAGCCTAGCCTCCCCGGCGTATACGACCCATCTGCTGTCTTTAACATCAATCAATTCATTCACGAATGTAGAAGACAAGAAACAACTTCAGAAGTAATCACGACGAAAATTTTAACAAAATTACGCAATAACAACAAGATACGAAAACAACAAGTAAACACAATGAATCCAAAAAACACCAATTGATATGACACACCACACGTATATACAAATAGTACAAACAACCTCGCGGATCACATCTTGATGGAATTCCTTTGAAGAATTGCAGGACTTACACCAGTACGCCTACAAACCTTCACAGGTTGACGATTGTAAGTTGTGGAATGTCCAGACACAA